TTGAAAATGGCGCCGATAATAACGTCTGCATCGGTTTTCAATCACCTAGAACTTTTTTAGTAAACTTTTAAAAAGTTTAGTGAACTAACAGGATGTTGGTAGTACCTTAAACTTTCGATAGGGAAAGTAGGAACTTTAACTTTGAAGTATTTCGCTTAACGTTTGCAAAATTTCACTCGTTTGACCGCTGTGTAGGCGAGACGTCTCTTCGCCCGGCCCTCGTCGCGCCATGCCTTGGTAAGGGACTTGTCAGAAACTAGCAGGGAGGAGGAGGAGGAAGGGGGGGGTGGAAACAGAGGGAGGGTCACAACTTTTTGAGACTCAGGAAAGGGTGGGGCCATGAAAAATGGGCCGTTACAAGGGGAAGGATCATGTAAATATATGCCCGTGATCATGTAGAGGTTCACCCACAGAAGAAAAAGAAAGTTCTTTATTTGATAAAAGAAAAAAAAAAGAGCGACGGAACATTAAAGATATAAACTGTGAAGTACTATTGCAAGAATGCAATAAACATCTACTTTTCATTTGTAACAACGCTATAGAGTCTTATTGCAATTATGAATAATGTTGTTTGTTAATGTTGTTAGAGTTTTGGCTATCCTTTTCATCACTGTCTTCAGCATCACCATCAATGCTGCTGTTAGCTTCTTGATCATCATCATTTATGTCATTAGCATTTTATTTTATTTACTTTATTTTATTAGCCTCGCATTGATAAAATCACTTTCATCATCATCATGATTTTCATTTAAGTTGAAGCGTAGATATTGCTTGATAACGTCCTGTGATTCATTGGTGAACAACCCTTCTCAAAAGCATGTTGGATATATGGCATTTGCATTTTGAGGAGCGCAGTTATTCCTTCATAATGAAGAGATAATGGGCCAATAGGCTCTGTAAGACCATGCCATTCTTGCCGAGGTGCAATGGTTTCAATAACTCTTTTGCAGTTAGCTTCCATTCTTTTTGCCCTAGCTTTTTTTGCTTTCCTAGTGTTTCCTTTTTTCACTTGTTGGCTTGGAATACTGCACATCCTGGAATACTGCACAGCCTGAGCCTGGACAGGAGATAAGCTCCTGGCCTGGAACATTAATTTGTCTTTCAATTCTGTAAGGTGGGGAGGGTCATGATATTTTAGTCCAAGCTCAAGGGGAGGGTTAGCAATTTCACTCCCATTGCAGGGATGGGTCACCTAATTTCCGAACCCAAAATTAAAGAGTGGTGTGGTGGTGTCTGGAGTGGTCAAATTGCCGTGTTTCACGTGTGATCCCAAATCCCTCTGTTCGTTTGTGAAGCATTTGCAAACCACGACTACAAGTGATCATGGCTAACAAATTATCCTGTGATGAACTACCAAAGTTCAATCTTTTCAGCTTCCATGTAATGAATAATTGCACGGACGTGCTCTTGCCTCATCAATCCGACGCTCTTCAATTTCTTGTCGAAAAGTTCAGTGCTAATCCGCAGTCTAATGGAGCGGCCGGTGATGCCAGCGAAGCGACCTCGCCGAAACGACCACGCTCAGAGGCTAAGGATTTTTATTTGCCACTCCATGCTGGGGTCTCTATGCCTACCGGTTCAGGTAAAACTGGAATTATATGTTGCCTTCCGTATTATCTGGGAAGCATTGGTCTGAAAAAGCCGCTGCATGGTTCTCTTGCCACTGGAAATCCACGCCATCACTTCAAAAAGCCCATATTGGTGCTCGCCCCTAACCTTGATATTGCAGATCAACTTCATGGGCAAATAACGGTTGCGGGAGGAATCTCCCGCAAGAACTTTCTGTTAGGGAAGAAGATAGTACACAGAGATGATCAGAAGAGAGTCCTTCCCGACGTGATGAAGGTTGATGTCACTGATGATTTGACAGATCAACACTCCCTAGAGAGGTATGATGTGATCATAGCAAACGTTCACAAGTTTCTCTCTAAAAAGACAAGAGAAGAATCGCCAAAGTGGGTAGAGAAGTTTGACGATAACTTGTTCTCATTTGTTATTGTGGACGAAGCTCATCATTTCCCAGCTCCCACTTGGGTAAAAATCTTAAACAAATTTAAACATCATGCAGGAGTAATATTTTTCACTGCAACACCATATAGAAGTGATGAAAAGGAACGTGTGGTGTTAGGCAAAGAATTATGGTTTCACTTGACGCTCGAAGATGCCAGAGAAAACAAGATCATTCGGAAAACAAACCCTGTCCCAGTTGGCCCTGAGAATTTTGAAGAAGCTGATGAGGGGGTGGTCTACGAGGAAGTCCTTCAGAAAATTAAAGAGATTCAGGAACGAAAGAATAGGGAACAGCCCCTCCCTAAAAATGTTCCCCACATGGCTATAGCTATTGTAAAGAACCAACATCAATGTAATGAAGTAGCAAAGAGGTGGAATCAGCTTTTTAAGGAGGAAAAATCAGCAATTGCCTACCACACTGGAAAGAGTGACTCACAACAGAAAGAAATGATGAAGAAAATAGAAGAGAATGAAGTTAAACTTGTGGTTGTAGTTGGCAAGCTGCTGGAAGGATTTGACCACCCACCAATTAGCATTGCAGCAATCTTAACCAAAATTGGGTCACCAGTAAAGTTTACCCAGTTTATTGGAAGGGCACAGAGAATTTGTCGCACTCCTGTACTTGAAGACGGCACAATTGAGGCAGACATTGTGATGCACAGTTTCTACCAACAACAAGAAAACTATCACAAGTTTGAAAATGAGTCGTTTATTAAAATTTGAACACAAAAGGTTGAACTTTAAGTTTGAATAGGATTATGAGTTCATGGACTGCTTTTACCCAAAGAAGGGGTTCTGATGTTTTTTGTACATAATGAACTACTAGCATTTAATTTAATCTCTATGTGCAGTTTTGTTTGACATAGTTTGTCCTTGTACAATGAAAGGCAAGAAATCAGACTGGGAGCTTTGTAAGCTGCAGTGAATACCTCACAGGCACTTAAAAAATCTACAATTTTCTGTATTAAAGTGAAAATAGTGTTTCATTATTAACTGATTTGATCATTTATGTTTCAAAATTGTTTTTGCTCATTACTTGCACTCTTTAAATTTTGTTATAAGCAGAAGTTGAAATAAAGTGATGAGACATAAAAGTGTGTTCATTTCTAAATATTCAACTGCAGGATGCACCCTCATTTAAATGTTTTATCACATAACCCAGGGATGTTTTTAAGAGCCAGCTTCTGGTTAATTTCACCCCTTGAAAAAGTGCTTGCCACCAGCTCAAAGTGCTCTGAAAAACAAATGCTATAGGCCAATTTTGAACGTGCTGTATATTTATGTTAATAAAAGCCAGCGTAACTCACAAAACATTGGCTACATTCCTTCATACCCTACCTTCCGATAGTTGTTAGCCCAATCAAGTATTATTTCTATAATTTCACTAAATATCTAACAAGTATGAGGATAGTACAGAAGACAAGTTTTTTGTAATCAAGGTACAGTCAGAGCTGTCATTAAGAGGCAGGGGCCAGGAATTTTCCCCAACTACTGAGAATCCGGGGGGGGGGGACTCCCATATGTGGGCTATATAGGTACGTGCCACGGAATAGGGTATGGTTTTTGAGGTTCTCGGTCCTTAAATAGGGTATCTTTTTGTGTCCCTGGTGTGGTCCTTAGGGATAGGGTAGCTTAATTGTATTATCTAATACTGGAGTGTGAAAACGCCCACCTAAAAGAACATTTTTTTAAAAAACTAGGCTTATTCTAGTATTTTCTGCTTGATGCTATACATCCAATGTTACAGAGAAGAAATAAAGTTTTCTTTTTCATGCTTTTAATAATTTTGTTTTTTCCTTGAATAGGGTGTCATTTTTCGGCTTTCGGCCTTAAAAAGGGTATCAGGTTTTGCTTTCTTAGTCCTTAAAAGGCCCTGCGCCTAAGAAACGACCGATAATTTCCGGCTAAAAAATAAAATCGGCCGATTTTTATCTCCCAAGTAGAGGTTACCGAATACTATTCGAAATTGAATTTCTTTTGTTTCAGTTTCGCTTTAAACCAAAAATATCGAGCCGCAAACTTTTCCCGTCTGATAGCAGCAAAATCAGGCCTAAAATAAACCCTCGCAAAAAACGGTTCAGAAATCACTATCGCAACGCAAAATAACGAGAAAACCACACAGTGATGAAGAAAAAGGCCTTTTAATGCAATATCATTCAATAAACATCGAAAAACTGCTGAAGGGAATAAAAAGTAAATTTTCAAATACTGCATATTAAATTAGATGGAGCGTTGGAGCTGATTTTAAAATAATTATTTCTCAAAAGTCCAACGCTGTTGAAAGCAATCACAGTGATGAATCAGACATTGGAGGGATATACATTACGATTATGGAAAAACATTTTTCGGCCAAAGTATATTGACGTTGTACAAAGCGTTCAAAGTTGCAGTGTTTACCGTTAGAGCGATTTTCGTATGACCTTGAAATGAAAATACGCGAACAAAACAAAAACAACAAACGAACATAAATAGAGCGATTTGATTGGTTTATCGAACCGGACACAAACTCACGTGGCTTTTGATTGGTTAAGCGAACGCTCAGGTGAAAAAACTTCACGCCCAACACGCCCGAGAACTTTCTAGAAATCAAACGATACTTCGCTTTGACGTCATACTGCAACACGATTGGCCAATCGAACAATTCCTTCTGTTTATTAGGGTTTTCTTTGGCGGGAAAACGAAGAGGCCACGTTTCGATCTTTTCATCCATTGGCTAATAAAACAAATAACGAACACTTGCCGAAACCATTTTTCAAGGTCATTTGAAAATCGCTCTATCTTGCTACTTCGGCGAAACCCCGGGGCGAAACACTTCTCTGTTGCCAATACGGCCGTGGATAGCGTGGTAAACGCCACTTTAATCCTTGCTAGGTGCTCAGAGACCATCCTAAGTAGAAGGACGTAGAATTAAAAGAGAAAGGATGATAAAAAATAAGCAGAAAAAGAAAACAACTCCAAATTACCATCTGCTAGGGAGAGTTGAATCTTGGAAATGTTGTCGCGTGAAAGCGTTCATTTGTCTGAACTGCAGCGGGATCCAAACAAATACGTGAAATATAAGTTTAAAAAAAATAATATTTCTATCACCAGAAATCGTGAAGTGAAACAGTTTTATGTTATTCCTATTAATGATGATGAATTCAGCCTCAGCTGCTCTCCAAGTACTTTGAATGTCGGCTGCTTGTATTTCGTTACATACATTCCAACGGAGGTTACGGGTCAGCGCGTGTAGGGGTCAGCGGACCTGAAGAAAGGTGACGAAGCCGTTGGTAGGTACCCAGTCGGGGGGGGGGGGTGAACTTGGTAGTTTGTTTGTCCCGACAATCTTGGCCATCGTGACGTCACGAAGAGAGAAGCGCTCAACTTCGAGGAGTTTTCGAAAATGGCGCCGGTGTCATTTCCAAATGCTACTTTTAAAGTTGGTTTTCCTGGATACTGACGCTCCAAAATAGTTTTTGTCACGGTAGGATAGTGCAGTTCCAACATCTCTTTCCGAGAAGGTGAGTGAAATGTGTATCAATCCGAAAAATAACGCGTATGAGAGCTGTAAACAGTTTCGGTCAATTTCCTTGAGTGGAATAATGTGCCGCAAAAGTTTTTTCATGTTCGCACAGTAATATCGCATTTTCTCGAAATCGGTGAGGTGTTGAACATCGAAACTTGGCATAAGGGAAGGTTACTTCTATTGGGAAGCATTGTCTCTGAAGTTAATTGAGATAAACTAGCGGAAAAAATGATCAGTCCATTCGAGTGTGCCAGCGTAGCCGCTAAGGTACAGTCCCAGAACTGATGCAATAGCGCTTTCTACTAATAACGTCACAAATTTCTGGTGCCTGCTGTGACTCAGACATTAAACCCGACCAGTGTAAGAGTTTAGTATGGGCAAGTCACGTTCGGCAACAAATTTTGGTCGTCTTTGAAGATGTTTATCGTTAAAGGGAACAAAATCCAGCTTGGTTTCGATAATAAATGTCCTGAAAATAATCATCTCGTGCGAAGACAGCGTTAAACGTGAAAAAACTGTACAGATGAGTGGTTTTATTTCTTATGCGGCGCCATAATGCTGTGTGTAAAATTATGTTAAAATGTGTGGAGAGCAGGGCTTCATAGCTGTGCGTTAAACGGTTCATTTGGTTAAATTTATAGGCAAAGGTTGCCTAATTTTTTTTTGGAGTGCTTATGTTACGCTACTTAGTACTACAGGATATAAAGTACGGGTACTAAAGTATTCGTCGCAGATTCATATGGCTGGCCTACCTGGCCGCACAACAACAGAACAAACTTATACAATTCCGGTTTGTGCTAATATTGATGTGCTTTTCTCCTTAGATATTCGGTCACAGGCTTGCAATTGCGAGGAGCACATCCAAACTCGATCTTCTCTTTAGCAATTTCGGTTTTGGAGTATTACACAGCCAATAATGTTATGTCATGTTTCAGTGCACACCGGTGCTTTCTGCTAAGACACAAAGCTAGGGATCCGATTTCAGTAGCTTTCTTTGATCGAGTCGCTTTATTTTCTGATTTTAACCATTTATTTGAGTTACTGGACCAGGTTTTGCTCCCAATAGCAGTAGTGCCTTTTATATATTGGAATTATGCTCAAAAAACATTTTAAAAACGCTCACTGCGAATTTTATGAACAATTTTCATGTCGGATACGTATGTTTCCCATACAAAGCCTTGGAGTTGAATGCAAAGTTTGTCTGAGTCATGCGGGGGGTCTAAGGTGACAAAACCTATTTTTAGTAATAGTCATTACTTTCACTTATTTCACGTGCTCTCCTAAATTTAACTTAAAATCAGATAATGACTTGCAATTTACCAAGTCAGCGGGCAGTGAGTTCCACTCAGTAATTGATCTAGGAAAAAAGGAAAACTTAAAAACGTCCTTAGAGACTTTTGGCATCCTATACTTAAAAGCATGGCTGTTGCGTGTTCTTAATTCACTGTTTGGTATTAAGTGTTCTTCTGTGTTTATGTCTACTAGATTATGACTAAGTTTGTACATTAAAGTCAATCTGTTTTTCTTTAGTCTTGTTTCTACTTGCTGTTTTGGAGAAGTTTTGAAGGCAAAAACGAGCAGCTTTTCTTTGAACTCTCTCCAAGGTTGAAATATCTTTTTTGTAGTGTGGGTCCCACGAGGCACTTGCGTACTCCAGTTTGGGTCGGACGATGCTGGTATAGGCCGTTTCACGTACTTTCCTGGGACAGTCCCAGAGATTTCTCTTGATCAACCCCAATAATGCTGTTATCTCCAATAATGCCAATAGTTCCACCTATTCAAGCTGTCTTTTTGGGATAAGTAAACTTCAAAGTAGTTTCTGTTAGAGGGAAAGTATAGTTGCAACAGCTCTTTTCGAGAAGGAGAGTTAATTGTATTATATTCTGTTGATAATTACGTCGTAAACAGTTTAAGCCATTTTTTTCAAGTGGAATATTTGTCGCAGAAATTTGCATGATCGCATATTAACATCGCATGTTTTAGAAAAATCGGTTTGGTGTGGAAATAAGGGTAAGTCAGCAATAGTGGAAAACATTGTCCTTGAAGTTTAATGGGAAAAATTAGCAGTAAAAATGATCAGTCCATTCGAGTGCGCTTAATATTGATATAAACAGATAACCTCGACTCGGTTACCCCGGCACAATGTAAGTCGATTATTTTTCGGTTTTAAGAAAAAAGAAACCAAAGACTTCCCCAACACTATGTATCTATAATAATTACACCAGGAATATATATTTTTTTAACACTTGAAGGTTGTACCATCTTGTTAAAGCAAAGGATATTACTCTGTAATACCTATAAGCTTACATTAAGTTTTCATAAATAGCAAAAAAAATTAATAAGATTTACATACAGCTGCAACTGTTATGCATGAAGCAATTTCATATCATTCCACATCAATGGTTAGTGCAAGTGGAGTCAAACATGTACAGTGAAACTTGTATAATTTAAGCAGACACCTCAGAGAATGCTGTAGTGCCCACTCAATACAAAGTTTCTTCCTACTACATACAGGTTTCGATAGAAAATGTCATATGAGGCAGACCTGCTAACTCTCACAATTCTGCCTCGAGTCACACAATTTTTAAACTTTTCTCATGGTCTCACGACAAGACTCCCAATCTCATGGTTTTCTGGGAAATATTCTAAATTGAAAATTACCTTGTTTCAAGAATTAAAACATAAATTTTGTGGGGAAATTCTTGTGCCTGGATAAGCTTTGACTATTTTAGCCATGAAGTTGTCTTAGCCCAAAGAAATGACTTTGCTGTATGTTTTTTCACACCTATTTTCTGGCCTCTTAAAGTCATTAAAGAAAAAGTGGCACCTAATTTGTTACATAAGGGACCACACTAAAGCAAGGTTATATTTAAATAAACAGTTGATTCCACTAATGGAAAAGGGGTCATTTAATTTTGATCGGGAAAAAATAGAATCTCACTACTTTTTGTAGAATCTCCCGATTTATTTTCATGAGTCTACAGATTTTCCTTTATCAGGGGTTTGCAGGTCTGTATGAGGAGCTAAGTACCATTCAAATAAAAGGCAGAAACATTTGGAATACTCCCAGAGATATGATGACATACATTTGCATTAATATCTTTATTTGTGCAGATTTAAACCTAGATTGTACCTCAAATTTTAAGATATCAAATGAGTAAAACAAGCTTTATACAAACAAAAATGAAATGAGAAAGTATTGCAACTCATTTATATAATTTACAGAAGTCCCCTGGTGACACTAGCCAAGTGCTGATAGGGCAAGACTCCCAATCTCATGGTTTTCTTGGAAAGCAAAAGGCATCTTAAAATAACAAAAGGCACATAGGGCTCAGCCGAATGGTACCATAATGATGTCAAAACGTATGGAAACAGGCCTTTTTTCTGAAACCTGCCCCTTTCCCCTATGGCTATTTTTATTTGCGTTTACCCTACCTCACCTCCCCTCCCTGTACCTGATGAAACAAGGCTTTCAACAGTTTGTTGAGATAGGATGCTTTTTGTTTTAAAGGATGAGCTCATCATATTTTATTATCGTAGAGACGGGGGTAAGATAAGTTAACAAAAATAGACAGATTATTATAGGTGGGTTACTCATTTTTACAGCTATCCCTGGAAGAAGAAATAGACGTAAGGAGCTGACTGGCAGCCACTGAGATTGAGGAGAGGAGAAAGGAAATTGAAAGAGAAGAGAAAGAGTTGAAAGGAAAAGGAGAAAGGTTAAGACAAAAAGCAAAAGAAATTAAAAATACAGTAATAGAGGCCAAGCGGGTAGCTGCCTAACTGCAACTAATGGCAGCTAGACTGCTTGGCTAACCAAATTCTAGAAGAGACCAAGAAGTAAAAGAAAAGTGCCAGTGTAAGAAAATTTTATTGATAACAAACTGTTTCTTTCAATCAAAGTCAATGTGCAAAGTTTTAAATGTAAACAAGTCTAAGTCAGACCTGTTATGCTAGAAAGAAAACACATTTGTTCAGTATATAAAAAATAAAAGGAAACTGGTTCTTCTAATTTCTCGTATCCTGTATGGTCTCTTCTTGCTCCATGGAATCCACTCCATCTAACATCCTCCACTTCCCGCACCGCACTACTCTTTTCGTGGAATCTATTATACTAGATCTTTACAGAAATCCAGTAAGCAGCACCTCCTCCATCATACACTGCATTTTTTTTCTCATCATCTACAGAGTATTCCCAACCAAGGAAGCACCTAATTATAAAATCAGTCAGATAAAAAGAGATTATTATTTATACAAAAGTCAAAATAAATAAATAAAGGCAATATTATTACTTAAAATCCCTAATTTTTTTTTAAGCATCTTTTAAATCAGATATTATAATGGTTTTCCTCACCTACTCCCTAAACTTCAGATAATATAGGTGAGTTAAGCCACAAACACCACCCCTCCCCCCCCCCAAGCAAAGGTAAAAAAATATGTCTCCCTTGAATTATAAATTTTTGTAACTTCAAGCAACCTATCAAG